CACACAATATAACTTTCTTATTTCATTTATATACGAAATTTAGCACATCCAGTAACAGACTATATATCTTGTTTAAATGGTATGAAACTTAGTAATCCGATAAACTGTTATTATTTTTTTCTACTCCTGTCTGTAAAATGCCTAATTACTCACCGATCTAGCGTGCGGGAAGCGCCACTTTACCACGTCAGTTTCGTTTCCCACGGATTCGAGCCACTTCGGACATTTCCAGGATTTTACCGCACGGATTTGGAAGCAATCGGATGTTTTCGGAGATATTTCCCACGCTTTGAATTTTGACGTTTGTCAGTTCTGACGGTCATGTCAGTGAATGTATTCGTGTTGTTGTGCAAATATGTAGCCACTGGTTTATTAAGTACTCGCTCCATTCGTACTAAACAAACTCGTGACGCAAATGCTGTTTACCCTACTTGTTACATAATATATTATTTTGTACATTTGCAGTTAAAAGTCGGTGAGATCATTGAAATATAAAAAGTATAGTGAGTATCGATGTCGTTTGAAGGATATGTTCACGTTGAACATTACGCTGGCAGTTGAATATATTAATTAGCCTGTCCATATTTGTTTACAATGTTATTATTTAACTTTTGACCCTTCCTTTAGATAATATTTTTAATCTTACTTTTCGTAAACAAAAATTAATTACATTTTGCGGCGCTTGAAATTTATTATGAGCTAGCGTGTCATAACGGCCTTTTATATTTGAAACAATCGTCTCCGCTTCGTAATTCTTTCGAAAATCACTTCGCGTATGACAGGCAAAATTAGTTTTGCGACGCCGTCGCCGTCGTACGAAAAAACGTTAACAAAAATTCTGTTTTTAATAAAGGGCTCTTATTCAAACTTGAATGGCCGGATCAACAGCGAACAATGGTATCATTCTTTCGGGGGTACAAACAAGAAGGGTAAAAAATTAGGGACAAACGTCAATAAACTCATTTTATATCTATCCGATGACTCTGTTCAATAGAGTTTGAAGGTTTTTGGCAGATGGCGACATCGAACCGTCCTCTGCCAATCATAATGTCCAGTTTAATTTGACTGTTTATTTGAAAGTGTAAAATAAAAATGGAATTATATCTCGTCATTGATACAAACAAATTAAAAAGTATAATGTTCAAGAAAAAAAAAGAGAAAGAGGACGAGATGATCGTTGAGACTCTCTTTAAAGGCGGAACTCAGTTTGTTTCCATGGCAAGCCCATAGACATTTAACAAAGCAGTACCTATATTGTCGTATATATTTTATCAAAATAGTGTAGGCTCAATTTGTTCAAATAGGCCACAATGAGGTCTATAGCCGTGGTATCCAGTATATACTAGCATTTTACAAAAAGCAAACGCCAAGTTGAATAGAGCATAAAAAGCAAAAAACATCAGGTTATAATCCAGCACACGATAAACCATGACCTAACCTACCATAAACGGAAGGCCTTTTCTCTTCAATAAACCCAGCAATAAACTGATAAAAAGTCGATTTATAGGCATTTATCACTGCATAGAGGTTTTTCTAATTTAGTAGTGCCGATACCTTAGAATCATTATTTGTTATGTTCAGAGCTAACTAGAAAAAAGTCCATTAGAATATTTGCTTCAAGAATCATTTCACGAGCATGTAAAGGTAAAAAATTAATATAATTAATTTATTTTTATCTTTATTGCACATAATGTTTCTACATATTTAAATTTTAAAAAAATATATTTGAAAAACATCACCCAACGTTAACTTAACATTCGTGAAACTTTAACACGGCAAATAAAAAAAATTCGCAAATTATTTGGAGGACACTGGAGGACAGTCAATCCAAGGTTGTGAAGGAACGATGCCAAAAACGCATAAGGAAAGTGTTTAGGAATGGTGATGCCGAGTGGATTCGCATAGTGCGATGTATTATAGTGATTTGAATGTTTGCAACAGAAAATAAAAGAAATGAAAAAGAAAGTTGGGCCGATTTATGCTCAAAATCTTATTTGGATTTAAAAATATTAAGAAGAGTTGTTTTAGTTTTCAAGTTTTTAAAATTCAAATGTATATCAAATAAAATATAAATTATTAAACAACAAAAAGACAAAAAGGATTTTCTTTAACCGGTGGAAACCTAAATACTGATTTTAGAGTATATTGGCATTGATGACTTATTCTTTACTTTATATTGATCAGCAAGTCATTCCCATGAAGCAATAGGATAGGTGCAAGTTCCAAGAGTTAAAAATGTGTGCACGGTTAAAGCTAAAGTGACAAATGAACAACATAATGTTAACAAAAAACGGCGGCTGTTATTTTCTGGTAGAATAATAAAAAGTTTATGTAACGTTTTGTAATTTGTAATATCATTTTTGTGCTGCTTCCATTATTATCATGTAAGGCACACTAAGCACAAATATAAATAATAATAACAAAAAATAAACGTAAAAAATACAAGTCTCGGTCTAACAACTCAGAATAATACTATAACATCTTGCCGTATCGATCGAAAAGCAGCGGTCTGACGTCACGATAATTCTGGCGCGTTTAGTGTTGTTTAAAAGGAATAGACGGGTGTCACAACTTGGGTTATTTATTGCAACTTAAATACTGGGTTTTGATATTTGGTGTGCGTTATTTCTATACATAAACAGGGGTATTGAACGAATAAAAAAAATGTTCAAGTTCCCCATTTCACGCAGAAAAAGGCGAGACTTGGTTCGACTAAAGAAAGTGTGGCAAAATTCATTACCGAACTGAATTTTGAATGATCTTGCATATAGATGTAAAAGAATATCCATTTTACATCAGTTTCTGATAATGCTGTTAAAAATGTACCAACGATTAGCATTTATTTAGAAGATACTTACAAAAAAAAGAGTTGAAGTTCTAAGAATCAAATCGTATAATGAAACATATTTCGTAGATTACCTTATCCTTGCGATTTGAATCCTATAGAAAGAAAAATTAGACGATATAATATAAAGCCAAAAATGTAATGGATTTAATTAAAACTCAACATGAATTAATACTAGAAAGTAGTTGGTGAATGTCATTGAGTAGAAAATAATTATAAAAAAACTTGAGACAACGTAAAACCATTAATTGGATGGTAGTGATAGCACAGATTCAAACTATTCCAACGACTAATTTTATTTAATTTGTATTTATTATTTACGTAACAACAATTATATAATATGCAATACAACAGAATATATTCATATATTTTGTATTTCAATTTCCTTACTGTTACCCTGAACCGGATTGATTTATTGGCCCAAAAATGCTCAAAAAACATTTATAGAATTATTACAGTGATGATCATTTGTCTTATGTCCTCTGTCAGTAAGATCCAAAGACTTCTGACTTGCATTAGTATCGGAATTGATAGAGTATTTTACCTGTTAGCATGTGCTACTTATGCACTCAAAAACTCAGAGGAATTCAAAATAGACGTGTCTATATAAGTTACATTTTTAATGAATGAATTTTTCCAAAATATATCAATTCAAAAACATATTATAATTTTTTTTTTTTTAATTTTTCAAACCGATCACAAAGCTGAAATGCGATTTGAAATATGTATTTGCTAATTTTAATTGCAAAATAAGCAAAACGCTACCTATGTGTCGGGTAAAACAACATTTAATTAATAATTAATACGCTAACTTCATATAGTTTGAGTGACAGAAACGAAGTTTATGAGATAAATGGTAATCAATATAAATTTTCGGTAATGAAACCGATTCTAAGGATTTTAAAAAGCTGCAAATTAGATTCAAGTCAAAATCTGGTTGATCATCACTTGCTGTACCAAAATCTACTAAAAAAGTACAGATAGGAACTTAAAACCCCTCCTTCTAGGACAAATAATTCAGTTTTCTTCTTGATTTTGAGCAGATTTCAGTTAGAAAAGACTTTTTTGCCTTAATTTCTGGCACACTCATTTGACGTTCGTTGTAATTTCAATTAGATTCTAGATTCTAGTCATAACTATATTTTATCTAAAACGGCAACAAAATTGCAGATATTATCCTTAAACCTTACTTTCTCTTTCAGATTAAAGTCCAAATCGGCTTTTCTGAGACATATTGTATTTAAAACGCCATCAAAACTTCAGATATCACCAAAAACTTCATTTCCTGTTCCAAATAGTTACCTTTTTTTGTCAATATCGTTCAAAGTCTAGCCAATATCGGCGCCTTATTGCAACGAAGACGTTAACAAACCAGTAGATATCGACTTAAATCAGATTTTTTGCCACTTACTGTACCGAAATCTACTACAAGAGTACAGTTATGAACTTAAAACCCGTTTTTCTTCTTGATTTTGAGAAGCTAGAAAGCTAGAAACGGCTTCTCTGTCCCATATTGTTACAAAAACAGCATCAAACTTACAGCTATGAGCCAAAAACCTAAATTACTGGCTGAAATATTTGACGTTCCTTGCGACTTCGATTAGATTCTACTCAAAATCTCCTTTTCCGAGACATATTGTATCTAAAACGGCATCAAAATTGCTGATATCAGCTGTTCCAAATAGTAACCTTTTCTTGTCAATATGGTTCAAATACTAGTCAAAATCGGCAATAGTGGGCGATTTCAATTAGATTGAATTCAAAATCAGGTTTTTCGACACTTACTGTACCGAAATCTGCTATAAAAGTATAGATATGAACTTGAGTTCAAAATTCAGACGAAATGAAGTGGATATAATTTAGAACAAAAGTAGAATCGCCCTGTAAGATGACAATTATTCCGAATTGGATGCAATATACAAGAAAACTTCAACACCCTTTCGGTCGACAAGTCGACAAGTCCTGGATCTTCTACTAAACGAATACCGAAAAGCTATAGGAATAAGAAATTGGGCACAAGCGATCAGTTAAACTATCGCTTAGTCTTCCAAGCTGCTGCAAGATTTCGCTATGATTTCAAACTTTATATAAGATTCGGTTCCATAATTTTAAAAATATGGTTTGTGTATAACAACTACATGAGGACTTTACTTACGATTTGTTTGCTGCTCTCCTGTTTGGGCTGTATATTTTCCTGCAAAAATGAACATATCAAAACTACTATTAATTTGTATCAGTTTAGATATCAGAAATTATAATTACTTAATGGTCCCACAGAACCTTTTTTAATAATTACATTTATATACTACTACCCATGCAATCAGCCTAAGAGATACATACATACAGGAATAATCAGAATGCTTCAGATATTACCAACATCTTTGTGAGGATTAACCTGTCTGTCAACTATTTCTGGAATACGGAAATTTAACTCAATCTCAAATAATAATAATAATAATAATGAGTTTATTAATTTCACTCCACTGCAGCAAGAAAAAACTTAAGTTAAGTTAACCAGCATGCTACTACAGTGAGTTAGATAACTGACCCTTATTTAGCTTTTTATGAGAAGAACGAACACACAAATGCTGTTGAAGCCTGGATCACAATAACAAAAATAAAAAATAGTTGCCTATCAGATTTGATACGTATTAAATAAGAAGCTAATAATTATTTTCTACTTACTTTTTTCTTTATTATTCTATATACGCATTATATAAAGGAAAGTAATTAAAAACAAACAATTATTTGTTTATATGTGCGATTGAAACTTTTTTGTTTTCATTCTGTTTCTAAGAATTGCAGGTGGTAATGAGAAATTGACTATTTGGAACGTATTCAGAAAAGGATTTTTGAAACAGTTCTTTGTTATGACGTGGTATTGTCAGAACATGTTGTTAGATTGCGGTTATGAATATCAGTTTCTAAAGATTTTATGAATAAAGGTCGCGGGACTCTTTTGTTGTCCATATTTAGCCAGTTCGCTTCCCGCACTTTAAAAGAAATTCTTTCTCTCCTGGGAATTCCATAAATCATTCTGAGATAACAATTTTCCAATTTTTTAATGGGATTAAAATGTAATGGAAACCGAAATAACCTCATCTAGGTCATCAAATAGGCAATTAGAGTAATCCCTTGTTACTAATTACTAATAAAAGTGGTGGTATTTTTTCTTTTCTTCCCAATTTATGCAGTGCTCTAAACTCTATTTTTGGTTGGAATATTGTAAACATATCATCGGATATACTATGTAAATGTATAAATAATGAAATTGGGTAAATGGTATATAATGGTATATCGGCGAGACTGACGCACTTTTTGTGTAAATTATTAATTTTTACAGCAATTTGAACACTTAGATTAAGCAATAAATATTTCTCACAAAAACTCTTTTGTGTACGGGTAAAGTTATTTTAATTAGACTTATTTCATCCCGCATAATAAAAAAACATTACATACACATTTTATTATTAATTATGTTGCTGGAGAAGACCCATTACCCGTTTTTTGTACGCCCGATCTAAATTTTTGTGCAAAAGTTTAGCATAAATTGTTAAAACTTTTAATCCGGTATTACGTTAGGGCCGACGCTGACCTGCTAAAAGTTTTAATCCGGTATTACCTCCATTTTATTTACGTAAACCGGCAGCAATTAAATTTGAAGCTCCTTTAATTAATTGGGTTTTAGTGACATCACACAATGCCCCAGATGAATGATTAAAAAGGACACCGAATTCAATTTGTAAAAACAAGAGTTTCGACAAGTTGGACTCCCTACTATGTTTTCGTGTGAGGATAAAAAAAACTCATTTAACACACACATTGGGGGTTTCGCAGAGTTGTCGTGGAGGGTCAGAGTTCACGGCCACGCTAATTTGAATATAATGCCAGAAGTGACAACGAGAGTTTTTCCGTAGGCTTGGAATATTCAAATTAAACATAAAGGAACCCAAAGTGTTATCTTTATAATTATCTTTTTAGGTTTGGCCTAATTTTTCTTATGCATTAGAATCGAGAATGTTTCAAATTTACATACTAACAAAAGGAGCGGTAAAGGTTCAAAGTTTAAACTGGAAATTTTCTCTCAGAAACTTTTATTTGGTGCCGCTTCAGTTGGGATAAAATCTAATACATTCAACGAAACATGGAACGAGGACAATTTGGGTCGTATACAGGGTGTTTCATGGTGGATAAAATATTAGCCGTTTTGAAACTTTGGCCACAGTGGTTTTTGACCTACCTTATCGATACAAAATATTGCAAGTGTGACACTGTTCCCGACAGTACCGTAAAGTAACGACATTACTTTATTAAATAATATATGGTGGATGTTATTCCAATTTTCTCTCCGCTACCATTTTTTGATCATTTTTGTGAAATATGCATTTTAACATCTCGCTTCGTTTTCGAAAAAATAAAATTGTAAAAGCATAAGACACCTTAGGCAAGCAATTTCTTTAGAAAAAATAAATACCATTAAATGACCACAATGAACCAGACACAAACGGTCGCCTGGCCAAAAATACGAATATAAAAAAGTGGTAAGCATAACAAAATAAATCTTGATAAGAGTGTGTGTTTCGGTTCACCACTGCATCAAATAATTTAAACAAAGGATATTATAAAGTTAGGATGTTTATGAAAACATTTTTTTTAACTCTCGTGTGGAGGAACTTGAAAATCTGTTCTGGGAAAACTAAAACGTTAAACACTTGAAAATTATAGTAAGTCAGCAAATTAGTGTCAGTTTGTTTATTTTAATTTGAACATGGTATATATTCTTTAATTTTAACGTTGTTGAGATATTTTCTGTTTACGTATATAGCCATTCAAATATTTTTCTTTAGAAATAATCTTCATCTTAAGCTGAATTAATCGGAGTTAACTAGGGCAGCATAGGACAACAGAAAGTACATAGAAATACTAAGAGATTGTCGAACTTTCATTGTCTTTATTTCTATTATTTACAAAACTTGCTAATGTTTCGCAAAATCATCCTGTTGGCTTCTTCAGAGCTTAACTTAAACTGGCTTGTTAGGTTGCTTCTAGATTTCTACAGATTTCTTAAGAATTTTTGATATGGGATCAGTGCTGTTTTGAATGAAAGGAAGAACCACAGTGGCAAGTGTGACATTGCTTTTGGATTCATTGCTATTGGAAGGTTGTGGTGAGGTGAATGTTGTGTTAAAACGCTTAATATCTTTATTGTGGAAATTATTAGAGAGAAGATCAGAGGTAAGGTGTTTTAATTCGGGGTTCAGTGACTCGGGCTGAGATTGTTTTATGGCTCTGTAAACAAAAAAGTTGATAAGCGATGATTTTTGGACCGGATAGTGATGTGACAAAATGACCCAATGTTAGGTCTGATTTTCTATTGATAAGAATGTCTAAGAATGGGAGGTTATTATTAGTTTCTAATTCAATGGTAAAAAGTATGTTAGGGTGTATAGAGTTTCAATTTGCAAAGAAAATCTAGTAGGGATTCTTGACCATGAGGCCAAATAATAAAAAAGCATCTTCGACGTAGCGTTTCGATAATTTTGGTTTTAGTTCGTTTAAAAATTTGGATTGAATTGAATTGAATTTGAATTTGAATATATCTTAAATAACGTAGACAATTTCAGAAATAAAGACTTTAGTAAAAAGGGACTAACCAGAAATGAAAAGAATTAAGTACTAAACTATCAGGTTTTTCTGTAAAGGGTTTTAATATAGAAGATATTTTGGTAGAGAATATGTTTGAAAAACAATAGTGCTGACAATAGGTCGAAGGGGTAATCCTGGTTTGTGAAGCTTAGGGAGTCCGTAGGGACGAGGAAATCTGGAGTCATGAGGGGCGACAGACCTTTAACCTAGTCTGATGGAGAAGAAACTTTAATAACAGATCTAAGGTTCATAGATGACGTAATATCTTGAATCTTTTTCTGATATTCAGTTGTGACCACCGTAGCATTTCCTTAATCTGTTTATCTTCCTTTTATCTATCTTTTAGTTCTGTGTTTATTTTGTTCAGTCTGCACTTGATAACAGATTGCAATACATCTGCCCTAAACGTTGTATAAACAAAAAAATAAAAACAATTGAAGTTCGACAATCTATTCACGCAAGGGTAGGTACGTATTTCGTACTTATGGTTCGTTGGTTCTTATTTCACTAAAATTGTGTATTAATACCAAATCACTTTGAAGAAAAGTTAAAATAAAATTTTTATGTTGATGTTATTGTTGTCTTATTTGACATGAGGTTTAAGAAACCCAGAAAAACAAACATTAATTATTTTATGTGTACCCAGCCATTCCAAGAATTTAAAAAAATTAATTTAAATTTAAATTTTTAAAAAGTTTAAAAAATCAATGCGAATAAATTTTAAAATGCATTTTTCTCGAAAACGATAAATTCGAAAATTAACCATTGTTCCACATTTTTTCCTAGAGCCCCTGTATTAGCCACCCATGAATATAACATAATGATAAGTTCTAATTAATACTGCAGAGGGTAAAATGTACCAGTCTCATTTCAATATCTTTATAAGTTCTGAAAATATTTACAAGAAACTGTCGTCAGTGTTTTGCTGTTAACACTCTGTACCTTAAAAACGCAAAGGTCGTGGACTCTAGTTCATAAACACCTTCATTTCTATTTCTACATTCTCGAGAATTCAAACACTCGAAAGTAATAGCCATTCAAAAACCAGGAAAACCAGCCGACAAATCCGAAAAGCTACCGACCAATTGTGCTGCTGTCAATAATGTACAAGTTGCTGGAAATACTTATCTACGGACTACAGAATGGGCACAGTAATAATTAAAGATATCCCAATTGATCAAGCGGGTTTCAGATCTAAACGTAGCTGCAGCGAAAAAGTATAATCACTGACCATATATATCGAAGCCGGCTTTCAAAGAAAACTAACGACTTCTGTTGTGTTTATTGACCTGTCAGCAGCGTATGACACCGTCTGGAGGGAAGGAATGATATATAAATGCCTACGAAAACTTCTCTGTAAACTCACATCTAGACTTAAAGATAACATGCTTAACGATAGAGTCTTTCAAGTGATATTGGGATCAGAAACCAGCAATCCCAGAAAGCTTGGCGCCACTGTTATTTAGCCTATAAATTGCAGATATGCCCAAAAGAACATCAACAAAGTTTGGCTACGCTGAAGGGACCAGGGACAGTGATGGGAAGCTT